CTCACGTCCAGGGGAGCGGCACCGCAGATGTTGCTGTAGCTCGCAAAAACAATACTATTCCAAAACCTCTTCGTCTCGGCCGAGTCAGGCTCATCCCAGGATTTGACAAACCTCTTGAAAATCGGCGCCAACCGGCGTTTATACTCCTTCGGCTCCTCCCCGAAAAACTCCAGCCTTTCCAGTTTCTTCTCCAACTTGACCCAATCCTCCCTCGTCCCCTCCAGTGTGACAGACGGAAGCCCGCAGATAATCCCGCCCTCGTAGCGAAAGTAAGCCTTGACGAGCCCCATCATCAGAATGGTGGACGTCATAACATCGTTGTCCGTCGTGGTCGAAAACCCAGGGACGATCCACTCCTCCAACCAGGGCGTCAGCACCCGCTTCTGAATCTCTTCTTTGAATCGCCAGAGGACGTCGGTCCAGGTGTGATCCTCAATAAAGATGACCTCCTGACCCTGGTGCTTGACAAACAGGTGGCGGACGGCTTCGGCGTGGGTTTCCATGTAAAAGTTCATTTGGGTCAAGATGGTGAACCAGATTTCGTCCGGCCGGAGGACGAGGTGGAGGTGTTCGCCCCACGCTTGGATTGCGCTCCTGACAAAAGAGTCGCCCGAGGGGAGGTGGGAGGAGAAGTTTGTCGATGCGGCGGCGGGGTCGAGGGTGCCGGAGTAGGCTGACAGGAGGAGTTGTACGGTGGAGTTGGGGAATTCGTTTGGGGCGGATTGGCGGAGGAGGTCCGAGGCCGAGGAGAGGGTGATGTTGGTGGAGGGGCGGTAAGGGAGGGGGGAGCCGCCTGGGAGGATCACAATGCTCGCGCTGGCGAGAGGGAGGAAGGCGAGGAGCTTCATTGTGGTGGTATTTTGAAGGGCCTCATAGCCTTGAGGAGAGAGAAAAGGTTGGTGTCGAAGCGGGAGGGAAACGGGACTTATAAGGACGTGGGATCGTCGGTCAGGAAAAGCTGGGGTTAGACAAAGTCTCGTAGATCGCTACATTCCAAGGGCCGTATGAATCGGCCTTGGTGTCCCGTGGAACAGGCAAGCGAGGTGTAATATAACCGGGTGAGCGGGATCATATGTCTCTCGGGGAATTTTGCCGGAAGTTGCTATTTTTGGATAGATTGCAGAGCATGATGAAACCAGGAACGTGCGACGCTCGTGTTGGGGAGAATTGTACTTTGTGATCAAGAGTGCAGCACTGCAGATCGGTGGTGTGGAAGTGAGTGACGGTCTGGTGTTGTGGGAAGATCGCAATTTGTTGTGGTTGGCGAAGGACTTGGCTGTTCTACTTGTGAGGAGTTATGAACTGACCCCCTGTTCCTTCACAAAATTCGTCATGAGCTTTCATAGATATAGAAGGTATTTATTCATCAGGTACCTTACGGGTACCTATATGTATCCAAAATCATTCCCAGAACCGGGAGAATGACACGGCGACGGTCGACACCGTCCCTAACATGACCAAGCAGACACCACAGGTGGTCCAAACCAAGGCCGTGGCAGCAGTTCCAATGGTTGCTTCAATCTCACCACCACTGATGTAGGTGATGGTGGACGCGGTTGATGCAGCGGCCGAGTGCTGCCAATGGGCAGCAACTAACGACAGTACCGCTCCGACGAAGGCAGGCAAAACACAGGCCTTGACGAAAGAATTGTTAGGGAAAGGCTTGACCTGTCGCTCGTCCACTTCAACGCCGCTGTCATCGTATTCCTTTTCCGTACTCCAACTACTGAAGGTAGCTAGTAGAAGAGCGAGAATGAACATCAAGGCCGAGGAGGCAGGGCTGGATCGATTTAGCTTCAAGCTCTGGGAAACTGGGCAACCAGGCAAATCTCAGGAAGGAACGCAGCCGCAAGAGCCAACTGGGACTCCGACGATTGCCTTCTCGTGAAGCCATTGTGCCCAATGCTTGAAAGTGACTGATTTGTCTCGGGTTCCATGAACTCGGAAAGCGGTGTCGAGGGCAGCGTGCCACCAGCCCACATGAATACCTAGAGGACATGAGGTGCTGTTGGTTCAACTTCCGATCTTTCTCCGCCAACGCTAACCCAGGCTCAGCTCGTGAACGTGGTCGATACGCCATTTGGAGGCATACGTCTTGCCTACAAATCAGAGAGATGCTCTGGAAAACGTCCGCATGGAGGGCTCTTGCTTTTGCGTACTCACCGGAGATGAACTCCCCTGCCTCTGACCCCGAGTATCGAAATGGTTCAGAGCACAGCATTCGCGAAAGCAGCAGTAATGATGAGCAAACTCCCGTCCGGCGAGCCGGCAATGGCGACAGCCCGGGAGGCTCCGGTCCGTCCCAATCTCAGCAGAGAAAGGAAGGCGATATCGATGTGAACAGCAACACCAATGGAGAGTAACAAGAGCCCCTCTATTTCTCTGCCCCCAACATGAAGACACATATTTCACGCGCTACCGGTGGAAGCAACATCATATGCGCCACTGGAAAAACACATTCCGTCCTTCGAGGGGGTCACCGACCATCATTGTGGTGTACAATGCTGCTGGCCAATATATTCTACAGGTCTGGCATGATCAAAGCCATTCCTTTGAACGCACTGCTCCTGACAGCGAGGCAAAGCCGGTCACCAAGGATGTACCACCGCTAGATCTTCCCCGCGACGAGTCCCACACCTTATTTGCCCAGGATATCGACCCCGAAATCAATCCGTACGCTAGGTCTAGCCCTCGACATATTCCCTGATGTCTTTGAAGAACAGCTCTACCGCTCAAGGTACCGAGGGACCGATAGTTGCGAGGATGCGGACCCCAGAACATGGAAAAGGGTCCTCGTGTCTAGACTGATCACATCCTATCTGCGCGAACCAATGTCTCCCGTCAAGAGTGGAAGCTTCGAAGCTCGTCTGGCTCTGAAGATAGCATGGCGACAGCAGTCTGGGAGGAACAAGTGACGTGCTTCCGGAAGCGTTGGTCTGTTGACAGTACCGCTGCACCGGCCGAACAGAGTAAGCAAAGATCCTCGCCACAACCGAGCTAGGTAGAACTGACCTGATATGGCTGTGAAAGCTGTTTACTTTGTCGATCCACTCCCTCTGGTAGTACACGAATCCGAGCGGCGCCGCAGTGACTCTTGTGTCGATGCTGCTGCGAAAATCCACCGATCTGAACACACGCCTTTCCGACGGGCAACATGGAGACTGCCATTTGCACCAACCACTCTCAAGGGTCAGTACCGAAACAGACAAGATTTTATGAAACGAGAAGTCACGAAGAAACACCCAAATTCGGACCACGACGGAACGGCCAGGAGGACTGGACTAGATCTAAAAACCTTCATCCCAGCGCCGGCCCTCTTACAGGTCATCCGCATCGACGCGATGTGCCTTGTTCGCCACCTCTCGGTCATTCTTGACAAGATGATCCACCAGCGCAACCAGCGAGCGCCTCATGCAAGAACGCCTCGAACTCCTGGAGAGAACTGCTCAACTGGGCCCAGCGAGAGTTGCCCCGGCTTTCGGAATCTCTGGCCGAGTTCTTTGCTTCCGCGCTGGCAACAGCTGAAGATCTGGAGCCTGTTCTCCCGGGGCTCTGCACGCACATACCAGCGCCAGCGACACATCCTCAAGTGATCAAGCTTCAGCAAGAAATCCAGGACAGTTGTGACTAGATGTGTCCGTACACATGAGCACCTCCGCGCGGAAACGTCACTTCTTGAGAGCAAACGGGGGCATTGCCCAGGCTGAAAATGTTACCCAGTTTTGACGGAGCTGGCTTTTGTTTTTATTCCCACGTCTTTTGCTGCTGCGCTGTTTTGGTATGCAACTTCAAGAGCTAGAAGACGCCCCTCCCAGGGTGTGGATGTTTGTCGTTACTGCGATTGGATTTGTCTTGTTGGCATGTATACTACGAATCGTGCTGAGAAGTCCGACGATAAGCTGGAGGATACAGAGAGTGGGAAGGGGGGTAAGGACTGAGAGAAAGGTTCCAGATGGGGGCTGCTGTGCCTGCTCACAAGGCCTTTGGATGGGCATGGGAGAAGATTCACGGGAATAGGATCGTGGGATTCTTGGCACCGTGGATAGGCGATCTACGCTGCTTTGGTAGCGGTTCTCTGCGTTTTTGTGGGAGAGGTGAGCTTGACGATAGGGTTGGTGGTTTTGGTTACTGTTTTGCTGGGGCCGGTGATGTTTGTGGTTCGGTGGTGGGTTGTTAAGGAGAGGACGACGAGGGTGGATTTGTCGAGGTTTTATCCGCAGCCGAGGAGGAGGAGAGCAGCAGGGGAAGATGATGATGATGGGGGTGGGAAGGGGTGAGGTTGGGGTAGGTAGGTAGACTCTTGTCATTAAAACACACGTTTGTATTCAGGTACGCTTGTTCCTAACCTCCAGAGGACCATGCCATTCCAACACACTCCCCGTCTCCTCAACCCTTGGCGGGGAGTCAACCATCATTTCCATCCAGCTGGAAGGTTCGCCTCTGGTTGCAAGAGGATTGCCGTGCCGTCCAGACGACTTCTCACCCTTCTCCGAGCCGCCATATGTAAGCAAGAGCTCTCGTCTTTTTCTTGACAACTCTCCTCTCTTTGTTATGGGCAGCGAGAGCCTCCTTCGTGAGTCTAGTCCTCCCGGGTGCGGCGGCGGCATCCCTGGTCTTTTTGCTGCCTCTCGTCTCGACATCTTGAGGGTCTATTCCAAACTGATCCCACATCATCCGCATCACCTGCTCGTACCAGCCCCAATGAAAACCCCCGCCAGGTCCCAGCGACGAGACAGGATGCCGCCCGTAATCTCCGTGCAAGGTACTGTCCGAACGATGGACACTGTGCGTCAGGATGTTGTAGCAAAAGTCGGGCACGAGCAAAACAGGGCGTCTGATCCTCAAGGTAAAATCGGTCGAGGTGCCTGGTTCATAGAGGTGTTCTTTGCAGCGTGTGTTCTGCTTGGTGTTGACGGAAACTTCTCCGATGCCTGAGACGGCGAGGGTGAGGGGTGAGCTGCTTTCGGAGGTGGTGTGTGTGACTTGGCTTTGGAAGGGTACTAGGGAGGTGAACCAGCCTTTGTCGCTAGCGATGCTATGGTTGATGTGAGTATGGGTTTACCGCAGGTAGGTTAGAGTGGGTACTAAGCCAGCGACTGCTTACGGGATATTGGATCTGGGGGAGTAGATCCAGTCGCGGGATACGAGGTCGCGCTGCGGCTCTGAGGGTGACGTGTTGAGAACTGACTGGCACTAAAGACTCGTTTCAGATGGAAGGGGGATTGTTGAAAAGGCGAACAGACGTTGCGAGCCGGGAAGTTTTGAGAACTCATTAAAAAGGGAGATTTTTACTGTCACAAACCTTGGTGTGGTTAGCTTTCTTGAAGCTCGGTTCGGGGGCTGACTAGGTTGGAATTGGGCTTTGCCAGAACACAACTTGGAGCACCTTGGCCAAATCCAAACCCGAAGATTTGTGAATCACGAGAAGGACACTTTCAAAATCCCATTTGACATGGATCAAGACATAATGATGATTCACAACTACTTCTTAATGTCTCCAACTGCGCACCTGACACACCCAAGGTAGGTAGGTATGTAGAAAGACAGAAGAACAGGTCCGTCAAGCGGGAGCGGACTTCCACAAGTCAAAACCAACTTCGTGCCGGAATCACTAAGATGAGCCTATCAAGCCCCCTTCGCTGTTCCTCAAGCCACTGGCTCCATGGTCCCACAACATTGCGCAAGTGCCAGAAGATTAGCGACATCCCAATGCTGCTCACTGTCTGACTCGTTGCTGCAGCACAGCGGATTTCTCTCCTTCCCCGCAAGCCTTCATTGACCAGAACTCAAGAAGCAAGCAGAAAACACTTTGTGCTTCACCTAAAACTCTTAGGCATGTGATGAACAAAAGGATGGATTGCCGGTGGGGATGAAGACGAAGACGTGGAAAGATAGTTAATAGGCCTTGAAGGATAGTTGAGAGGCGTCTCGACCATCTTTCAAGTCCTTGATATCGAATAGCAGTCACTAGTTTTCTGTTCAAAGCATGTCAGGTAATGGGATATGGCGAGGCATAGTGCCCAAGACCAACGGCTCAAAAAAAAAAAAAAAAAAAGGAGAGCACGTAGAACGTTGAATAAAGAGTTGATTGTTTTGATCCGGGCCATAATGGCCGTAACAAAAGGAATGTATTTACAGGAAGCATTGCAAGGGTAGGATATCCCGATGTCCACACCCTGAATTCGCAACGCCTGTGGCTTCCTGCGAGCCTAAATATCCCTCCCATGCCGAATCAAATAACCTTGGTGTGGCTGAAAGGCCGAACTCAAAAACGCACCGACGAAGTGGTTTCGTTGGCCCATGCCCTTGATTTCCCTGCCACAACTGGCCCAGATGTCAACCCCGAGTCAACTCGCTAACTGGGCCAGTTCAAACCTTCAAAAGATCGACTCCCCATCACCCATCATTCGCCATCATCGCGCGTGCAATAAGTCTTCCCTCGGCGCGTTCATCCTCGTCGTAGATGCTGAGGCCGTAGACCATAAGAAACTTGAACTCGCCGTCGAAATGGACTCGAAGCCATTGCTTCTCTTCCGCTGTATAAGGAGGCACCATCGTGATTTGATGGATAGTTGCAGATTGTAGCTTGGAGTGGCGTGGACGATCTGGTGTTGGGGCGATGGGTGGTTGTCGAAGTGACGCAACGACCTGAGCAAAAGGTGAGTTGAACTGGGGAAGAACCGAGCAACCACGAGCCGGGGCCACGAAAAGAAGGTGATCTTCGCGCCTGGAACCACACCACCGGTGGATCCCACAACGGTTGTCTCATGACTCGACGAAAATGCATCAAATCGCCGAATCCGAGTCTGGTACCCCACGGTGGCTTGTTGTAAACTGCCGCATGCGGCTTGTGGGTGGTGGAAGGCGGGGAATGGCGCCAGCCACCACCGAGATAGCTCGTCAGACACGGGGGACTCGCGGATATAGCGAATGTATGTCGGCTCCCAAGCCCGTATCATGCAGAATGCAACTGCAGCTGCGACGCTGGGACCGAGTGCGTGTGTTCCAAGACAGTGACGGGGCCGAGGGCATCCATATGTCTGGAAAAAAGTGTGCGTGTGTGTGTGTGTGTGTTGTGCCTTCGAGGTCGAGGCGCTCACATCATCTGAAAGAAATCCAGTCGCTCCTGTTCTTCTCTCTCGGCCTGCCTCTTCTTTTCTTCCTCGGCCCTTCGTCTTCTGGCTATTTCGGGGTCTCCGGCCTCCTCCTCCTTGAGTCTCGCTTCCTCGAACGGTAAAAGTGAAGATGCCTGGTTTGCTGTCAATGAATCTGTCCATCTAGGATCTGCTGGTGTGGAATACGCCGAGTAGGCTGGGTTGACATCCGGACGAATGGGAACACCACGAGCCGAAGGGGGGATGGGAAGGGGTCCTGGTACCTCGGTGGCGATGGAAGCGTGTTTCTCATCATAGGTTGCCGTTGAACGGGAACTGCCTCTGGATGTAGTGTGGACCACCTTGGCATGGGTGACGACTGGCTTCGGAGCTGGGCCCTTCTTCCTCCAGATCTTGAGAGTGCTGAGACAACCCATCTTGGTGGTTTTGTGGGATGAAAGAGTTGGGAGGTTTTGATTCTCGGTCAAAGCTTTGCCGACAGTGGTCGAGATGTCCAAGGACGTCAGGGTCAGGGGAGCTCGAGGTGGCGAAAGATGGATGGGAGCTCGAGAGCACCGGATCTCTCACATGTTTGGGAAACGTGGAACTTTAAAACAAACCAGCGTCTGGCCCAGGCGGCGTTTTCTTGATGCAGTGACATGGCTCATGTCTCCATTCCTGGCGTGGAATGGTTGGAATGCTACCAAGGGCTGTCCCATTTGGGTAGGTTCCGATGGTACCATAAGCCCCAATGGGGATAGCGCCATAGCACAGCCCTAGCGATATTCTTGAATGCGGGGAAGGTCTCCACAGCTAGTGGTGCTGCGAACCCTGCAGAGAACTGGTTCCACTGTTCTGGGCGTCTGGGCCTTTGAGCCACCAATTTCCAGTGTGGTGAGAAACTGTGAACAGCTTCAGGGCGCTTGTTGACCAATCAACACATCAATTCCAAGCGGACTGTCTCTTCCAAATAAACAACAATGCCTTTCATCAGCCTCATTCCAGCCCAGCCAAGCAACGCCAGGCAAACATTCCGGACCAGCATCGGGACTCCCACAAAGAGCACCGCCGCCCGGAGCACCTGGGCAGCGCTTACACAAAGTCCAGAATAGTGGGGTCCCGTCGTCAGCAACTGGCGGGGCGGCGCGGAAACAGCACGACTAGCGCATGCAGCACATCAATGTTAGACTTGACCTTCCTCTTTTCGAGCTGGGCTTCTGAATCATGGAAGACTAGAGCCCGATTCCTGTCTTTGATCTCTCAAAAGTCACGCTCTCCTTCACCAAGAATTGGCAATTTCAGGTCTTCATCATTGGTAACCTGGTGATCCATTGGCCGGTGATTGATCAAGGAGATGGTCCGTGGCCATCCTAGTGGCTGATGGCAGCTGACCGCGTGTAATTTGCCTTACCCTGACCCTAGCTCACAACCTGTGGAATAGCGTCCGTCTGGGCTCTCATAGGCTCTGGAGATCTTCAAACCCCTGAGAACCCTGATGGGCGGGCCCTGCTGTGGATATCAAACGGCAGCCAAGCGGGAGCTTTGAAGATCAGGGAAAAAAAAGATCAACAGTGGTGATCTCACAGGAAGAGTGCTGACGTTGGTGGAATTCACCGCTTCAGCTCAGCCAGCCACAAAGTCATGCATAATGCAGTCATACCCAGAAGTCGAAAACCACGCATTTTCTGTTGGTGATGACTTGATGCTGCCGTTGGTTCACCATAGAACCTCACTGCCTGAAATGTGAAGGTCATCGCATTCAAAAGAGGTATCTTTTTTCGACGGTCGAATAAGGTATGGGATATCATGTGTCAACAGTGTCGCCAAGAAGAAGAATCCAACTCGGGCAAAATAAAGCTTCTTTCACCTCAACCAAACAACATACCTACTGTAAACCAACGACATGCCTACCAAAGTTCCAACGCTGTTACCAATGCAACATGGTGTGATATCCCATGCAGATTTACCACAGTTCCGGGACTGTTCTACTTGAAAGGACGCATGGGTTATTGCGCCGTGGGAACCGCTGGTTCGGCTGCATTTGTGAATCGCAAGATATCACCCTTCCAAGGAAAACAACATTGATCACGGTGTTTTTATCAATCTTTGCGGCATAGACCGGTGTGCTGAATCCCTCGCCGGAATTGCTCTTGAGGGAGCTGCCCGAGATTCCTGCTGCTGAAGTTTGGTTCCGGTGCCATTTGGCAAGAGTGAACCCCGGCTCCCAACATCTTGTTGGTAGCAGTGCATTCATGTAGGAACCTCTTATCAAGCCTTTGAATAAAATCATTGACGTGACTGATGGGTGCCCCGAGATTGGTTATGTTGGGGAGTTGGAAATGCAAGTCACATTCACAGTCAACTGGAACCTGGAAGCCTCCGGGTACGTTCAAGAGATCTCCAAATATCTCAACAGAACAAGGCAAATGCCACAGCTTGAAGGTATACGAGCGTGTCATGATACAGACTTGAGATTCCCATCGCCGTGGTACTGCCCAAATAAAAAGAAGACGAAATGGGACACACTCCTGCCGTGACTTGGTAATCAAACGTCGCACTCCTGCCCTGTGTGATACCCCAGCACCGGTTTTTTCAACATCATAAAACACGCGAAGGCACATGAGATGGACCAGAAAGGCAACAGAGCTGCTACGTAGTAGGTATTAGTGCCGGATCACCAACCCATTCCTTGTCTCGGGGATAGAAGGCACTGCACTGGACAGTGTCTGGCATGTTCGATCCCCAAGGCCACCACTACCCGAAGACGAGGTGACAGATGCAGACTTGGAAAGGGAAGGCAGTCTGCGCCTGTTCTTCTTCACATCATCTTGACACTCCCTTTCCTTCCCTTCCAGGATCTTCTGTCGCTCGGCTCTGTCTCCTGCAATTTCCTACCCTTCTACACCAGTTTACTGGTTCAAAAAGCAATTTCCCCAGCACCTCCATTCCTGTCCTTCCTGAACATGTTCTTCTTCAATGACTCGAGACCGTGGCGAAGAATCGTCTGCTCCAACTCTCTTGTTTCCAGCCTCAAAAATGGCAGCCCTTGGCAGTCAGTTCCTCCGACGTCGAGAACACTTCATTGTCCTCGGCAATCATTCGCCAATCCTACTACCGTGACCTCGACAAGGGTCTCAGTGTCCTCCTGGTAGCTTTACATACCAGCAAACATGTTAGTGCACCGTTCTTGCAGTGGGCTTAAAGATGGTAGCTGACAGTTGGTTCCCGACTAGACACCTGACACATGGCCATCCCTCTTCCCTTCATGCTTCATTCGCTGCCACAGAGGCTTCCATCTTCAGACATGCCGATTCCCCTTTGCCCCTGATCACTTCAGGTGGAGCACTACGGGGCTTTGCACTGCAGTTCGCAACGCTCCTTGACCTGGGATCGAGCAGCTACAAGGCTTTGCCATCGTTTGGCAGGAACTGTGCTTTGTGTCATACCAAAAGGACGTGCTTGGCACGGGGCCAAGGCAAGGGGGTATATCTTCACACTTTGCTCTCTTTTTGGTGCGTCTGTTCTTCCCAACCCTTACGCAATGGGGAAGGACTCGATCTTCAAAGCGGAGGCTGACCATCAGGCTTCCAACACAGACCTCCAAAGAAGCCAATTGCCACACGATCTGCCCTAGGTCAAGTGTTTGCCATCTCTGTTCTCAGCGAGTCCGAAGCCATCTGGCGTGCATTCTCCTGCACACTTGCGAGCGTTTCCCTGCATTGCCGTCGCTGGAGACGTCTAGCATCCAAGTCATGGCGATGCGATATGTCAACTCGACTTCATCTGCCTGCACGCATGCCTCGGTAAGTACCACCTGCCTCGCTATCCAGGGTGCGATGGGCATGAGAAGCTTTGCATTTTGCCCCGACGGGTTAACAAGCCCAACAATTGCCCTCGAAGCCAACCGCCTCTGATTAAGGCACAGGCACCCGTCCACCACCTGCAGCACCTCGTGAACCACCAAACAAGGGGCAGTCGACACCATATCTTGCCTGTCATCTCTCAGCAAGGCCCTTTGAAGCAGTGGATCCTGAACCAAGATTTACTGACCGGCCTCCTTTGCTTGCAATTCGTCTTGGGCCTGAGCACTTGCTACCTTGAGAGGTCGACATTCACGCCCGCCATCACCACCTCGACTGCTCACAAAGTTGCCTTTACAGATGATGGCCACGTCGGAAGCCTGTACAGTCTCTCGACGAAACTCGCCTCTAGACATTCACCCATTGCATGTTCTTCTCGGTCGCAACATCAAGCTCGACACCCAGTTTTGGGTCCAAGATATACTCGGCATCTCCAATCTACCCGCAGCCACCCTTGCGCTCGCACAAGACATACCTTCACAAGGGGTCTCTTTTGGGGACCGAGAGCTTCCCATCGTGGATTTGTCATTCAAGATGGGTCGCTGATGACCACAGCGCCTGCCTCTTTTCCCAAGTGCGTCGTCGGCCACCGCATAGGCATTCCGTCTCAGGTATCTCCCCGATGTTAGGTCGACAGCTTCTGTCTTCTTCATCATACCACGCCAGGTTTTCGAGGCGGCGGGCAAGCAGTCGAGATGTCTGAAACCATCAAAGTTGACCACAGCAGCCACCATGGCTCCCTCGGAGAGTTAGCCGGCACCCCAAGAAGAGGCTCCAGCGCGAGGGTCTGGCCCGCAAGAGCTTCGCCAGTTGCTTGGTGCCTGGGTGGCACGTTGTGATAGCCCCGCGAGGGGGCTACCGTTGGGTACCGCACACGGACAAAATAATGGAGACTGCTACAGGTCGTTGGTGGTACGGCCTGTGGTGTTGGGATGACTGCATGGTTCTCCGGATCCAGCACGACCAGCACGTTACCTGTGCGCGTGAGCGAGCGAGCGAGATAGGGAGAGGGTCAAGTTCGTGGTGGTGTGGGAGCCGTTGAAAAAGTCTTGGGCTTGCTGTGTTCGGGTGCCTCTTCGGCTAAGGAATAGTGTTATCAACATAGTTAGTGACATTTTGGGGTCTCATGCCTGTGTGTCTATGCTTGCTGTGAAAGTGGTGATGAGCTGACCATCCAAAATGCCAACAATTTTCGTTGTCGTGTTGCCTTCAGCTGTATGGAACCATTGCACCATCACTCTACCAGTCGCTGGGATCATGCAGTCTCTCCTTCAAGTCTTCAATGTCATCATTTATGTACCATCGTTCCAACGTAAATACATTTCTCTTCTGTCCTTTGGCCCCCCAGCCGTCCTGTAACCCCGGCTTCTTGCTGTCTTTACAAATGCGCCCTCCCCTCCAACGTCCTCCTCTTCTTCTTCTCCCTCTGACTCCTCTCCAGCACCCTCTCCTCCTCCGCACTCAACCTAGCCGGCGCATTCAACCCCTTGGCCTTCTTCCCCCCGTCCACCCCCCTCACGGCCTCCTCCCACAGCTTCTGCCCCAGCTCATCCGTCAACCGGATCACTCGTGTACTCACCGTCGCCCCATCCCGTCTGTTCTTCCCCTCCCTCCTGCTCGAAGCAATCTTTTCGGTAAAGTCCCACAGCTTCCCCGACGCGGTCAAGTTACCCGTCACCTCATCCCTCCTCGGCCTCCACTCGGGCGACACCCGGAGCCTCGGGGGGATCCTCGAGTCTTTAGACCTGACCACCTGGATGATCCCCTCCTCCTCAAACCGCTGGTACGAGTTCTTGAGCGTTTCCTTGTTTACGGCTTCAAAGTAGGAGAGGTCACCTTGGTGGTAGAGGGTTTTGCCCAACTGTCGAACAAATGTTAGCAAGCTGGTGGGAGGAGAAGGGGGGAGGGGGGAAAACATGCAAACTGAGCCGAATCCTGCGCCCGGGAGACTTGGATCCAGACGTCATCTTTTTGTCCCAGGGGCGGCGTCAAACCCATCAGCGAGACGGCTGCCAACCAAGAGGCTTCGATAAACGGCCAGATGAGGAAGCAGTAAAAGTCGTAATTCTCTCGGCCGGCTGCGCGCTCCGCGTCGGAGAGGCCGATCTTGGTTATGTTCCGCTGCTCGTCGCGCTCAATCATGATGATGTTGTCCGCCTCAAGGCCGGCGAGGGTGCGCTCGAGGTTCACCTGGAGGCCTTCGCCGCTGTAAATAAACTCGCCGCGGAAGAGGGAGGAGAGGAAGAGGACTTGGTCACGGAGCTCCTTGTAGGGTATATCCTGGATGGCCGGGCCACCCCCCTGCTTGACCTTTGTGTAGAGCGCTGCTGCGACCAAGGCTTCCGAAATAAAAAGGTGGATGGTCATGTTGCGGTAAAAGGAGAGCTGGAAGCGGTCGACGGCGTAGTAGGTCGGTTCGGCGAGGCCTTCGACCACGCCGACGAGGTCTTTCCCGAGGACTTCGAGCCCGCGCTCGATGACGTCCGAGAGGGGGAGGTTGCCAAAGTGGGCGACGCGGCCGCCTTTGGCCCTGACCCTTTCCGTGAGCCACTCCACCCGGCGGATGAGTTCGGCCCGGCCGACGCCGCGGCCTCGGAGGGTGAGGAGAACGGTGCCGATGAGGGCGGTGGGCATGACGACCGAGACGTCGTTGATGTCTGCCAGGACCTTGTAACCAAGCGTTCGAAGCAGTTTTTGCCTGACAACCTGGTTCTTGGTGTCTGTCCAATCGACGTGGATAGCAGACGGGACCTTGCTCAGCCTGCTGATCTGGTCATCGATGAACCCCCTTAAACTCCACGGCTCATGAAACCTCACATCCACCCTCCCCAGCCTCAAGCTCAGCACATTCGACCCCCCCGACAAGAAATCCGCCAAGTTCTCCTTCTTCTTGGGCACGCCAAGCAACTCGGTGACATAGCCCTCCGTCTCGATAACCTTGTCATACTGCGTCGAAACCGGACAAATAATCGCATCCTCAACCCTCCCACTCAGCAAGCTATCCAACACAAAGCTCAAGATCCCAAACTTTGGCGGCAGCAGCGTGGTTGGTACGTTTCTAGTTGAAGGGCTGATTTTATCAAAC